GTTATTTCTGAATTGTTCTAATTTAATTTCCATTATAGAATTTAGATAATTGCCATTGTCCCCTGCAGCATACAATTTCTACGATAAACGACTAATGAACATGCGACAACTCATCATAATTTTCCGACAGAATACTTTTGGAGAACTTGGCGGCAATTACTGACCACGGATTGGCGACGACATCTCGAATCATTGAAGCGAAGAATTCAGTTCCGTGAACCACATTTCTTGCTTGGCCACTTGTCCGTCGATTCCGGAAACAAAAGTTTCGGTATCTTTAGACGTTCATTAGACTTTGTGAGAAATGGAAGAAGTTTTTGTTTGTGTTCGTCTTCAAAAGCCGCCTTAATTTTGAATTAAATTGGCGCGGTTGAGTGTAATGATATGATTCTTGTTTATTTATGCTATTAGTCCACAATATTNTTCTGACCTTCAAAATATAGGGGGTAGCAGCAATCTGCAAAATATGGTTCCCATAGTTTGGTCAGGAGTGTGGTTCAAAGTTTGGAGCCCTTAATGTTAATTTTAATTTTTGCTTATTTTGCCATATCTTGAGAACTTTTTAAGCGAACTGAAGCATTTTTGCACACAATTATAAAATTCCTTTATCCAAAGATGTTTAATACAAAAAAAGTTTTTTATTAGTAGATATTGTTTTTTGCCATTATTTAATAATAGAAATAAAATAACAGAAAAAAGAAGTTTGAATAGTAAGGTATGCTACTTTTAACATCAGTTTAAAGAATGCAATTTTACACGGCAAAATATAAAATTTGAGCGAAATCTGTCAAAAAGTTCCTGAGAAATCTAATTTTAAATAAACCCCTTTTTTTCCATTTTTCATTTTGCACTCCGTACAAAACGAAAAAAACTTATTTTTGAAATTTTTAAAGATCGTATTTTCACGTGCTAGGACTCAATCTTAATGGTTCAAGGGCCTAACCTTAAATACTCTAATTAATGAGAGTAGATGTTGTTTTAAGTTACAAATTCAGGTACAAAAAAGTATTTTCTTTGGTCATTTATTTCGTTTTTTTTTTTTGCATTTGGATATTTAACCCTCGAAATATTGAATGTAGCCATATTCCAGAAAATGTGGTCCCAAAAGGCAGAAGAGTGGTTGAAAGTTTCGACTCTTTAAATCTTATTTGATTCTTTGCGTATCTCACCATCTCAAGGAAGGCGTATTTTTTAAAATTTTGTTTTTTATGAACTGCTTGAGCAATTACCTTCAAATTTTCAATTTATCATTTAAAATTACGTAAAATAAATTAATATAAGAATTTGTAAATCATACAATTCCATTTTTTCTACCATTAGACCATCTTTGACTTGAAAGTTTTACAATTGCTTGTAAATTTTTTTTTGATTTGCTTCATTTGTTAACGAGATATGGATAAATACATAAAATGTAAAATTGGGGCTTAAACTTTCAATCGCTTTCCTACCAAAACTGTTGGGACCATAATTTCCAGATTGCTTCTACTCCCATTATTTTGAGAAGAAAGAACCCAAATACGTAAAAGAAGTATGTTTATTCAGAGAAATCATGTTTCTGTGCTAATTTGGTAACATTATTGTCTGTACAAATGTATAATTTGTGTAGTATAGTAGTCGTAGTGGTTGTAGTCAACGTCGCATTATAGCTTCACAATGGGCTATCGATGATAGTCTGGGAAAAATCCCTGAGCTTTGATGGTCTGACGACCTTCGCGGGGAGTCGAGCACTTTTCGGTAGAATAGTTTGACGAAGATTAATACCGCGCATTCTCGGTCTCTTTGCAGGCTGATCTAAGTGCCTAATTTGATCCGCTCACTGATTGCAGTGATTCATGACTTCAGCGATCTTTTGGGAAACGTGTCTTACTATCGTGATACTTGTAGTATAATATTTATGGTATAATAATATGGTATAATTTATGGTATATGGAAGGGCATATATCGTGGTATATTATTTAAAGTTAGACTCTTGATCCATTTGGATTGAGCCCTAGAATGCGAAAATACGTCTTTTAGATCAAAAGTTATTTAAAGTGTTTGCTTTTTTTTGCACACGGTACAGCACGCATCATCTAATTTAAATATCTGGAACATATTTTGCTTTGAAACTATTCTATTCATGTACGGTGAGGGATTAATATTAAAGAAATGTGTATAGTTTGTCTATAGAATGAACTCCCCTCTCCACGAAGTCTTAGTCTGCTGCTATATAGAAACGAGAAATAGCGCATTTTAAAGAGGCGAGCCTCTTTCTCCCTTAATCACCTTGATTTCGCTGACCCGAGTCAAAGCCTGTCTTTTATGACCCAACATCCCTACTTGAAACAGTTAAACCTCATAGTCATAGTCTCTGCAACGGCTCCAGACGAATAGCTAGGGGAATTCTTTACAATAGACAAACTATAAGTTCACTTCTGCATCTTGTTGGTAAACAAAAACTATCATTATTAATAAATAAAGAGTTTTGATATGAGCATATCTTTGTAATTTAAAATAGTCGTGCATTAAATACTTTTTATTACCATCAGTTCTCATCTCTATTTCTAATGTTCAACTGGGAAATTTTCCAGATCAACTAGCGGTAAAAAGTACTGGCATTCTGAGTGCAGCATCCGTAGAATCCATTTTTAACGAAAAATTTTATACCGTAATTTTTATAGTAATATTTATTTAATTTTACAGTTAATATTAGTGTAAAAAAATTACGGTATATCTATTTTGCTCCGTAAAATTTTAAGGTAAAAATGGGCATTAAAGTAAAAAGTACTGGCATCCTGAGTGTTGGTACTTTTTACTGTATTTAGCCGGTAATTTTTTGCAGCGTGTCCCGTGATTCTTAGAATGTTGTTAGTATCTTTGAATACTGACAACTGACAATGAATACTTAGTTTAAGAAAAGTAGGTTAAAAGTTGGGTGATTTTATTGGTATTTTGAGTCATAATACTAGAAACATTGTATCATGTGATTGAGTATAAAAAATATTAATTTGTAAGATGGTTTGGTTTAACCTGACACTGTATTATGGTTACAACAAATATGAATAATAATATGGTTCAGAATGTGCTAAAATTTCTAACAGTAAAGTTATTATTTTTTTTAAAATTTCTCATTGTAGGCTCCTTTTTTTACAATTGAATTGGATAAAAATGAATTGAGTTTAAATGAATTAACATGAATCAAATTAAAAAAAAAATTGAATTATAATAAAATGAATTGAAAAAAGAAATTAATGGCACCTTAGAGTACTTGTGAATCGTTTGCAATGTTCTGACTCAAATTTTCTCTTATTGAGATTATAACTATTTTTAAAATGCTTAAAAACATTGTCCAAATATTTATTGAACTATATAATTAAAAATTTATTATTAATTAAAAAAATATTCTTATTGGGAATATAAAACTACTTTTAAAATGCTTAAAAATATTGTCCAAGTATTTATTGAACTATATAATTAAAAAATTTATTATTAATTAAAAAATTATTGTTATTAGGATTATAACTATGCTTAAAACATTGTCCAAGTATTTATTGAATTGTATAATTAAAAAGAACTGTATAATGAAAAATGTTTTTATTAATTAAAAATATTTTTTTTTATTGGGATTATAACTATTTTTAAAATGTTTAAAAACATTACTTAAGTATATTAAACTGTATAATTAAAAAACCATTATTAATTAAGAAAAAATATTCTTATTGGATTTATCACTATTTTTAAAATTCTTAAAACCATTGTCTAAGTACTTATTAAACTATATTTTTTAAAAAATTATGTAAAAAAAGTTATAGCTGATTTTCGAATTTTTTTTCACTTAAAAATACACTTTAGGGCTAGTCGAATGACCAATATAATTTCATATGGCGTGCTTTGCAAGTTCGTGTTTAGAATAATGAATCTTATAATATAATCTTTTCTTAGAAATAAAGTCATTTTTATTGCGAAATTTCTTAAATTAAGTAAATTGTATTAGAGCGTTTGAACTTTTATTTATTAGCTCATTACGAAGCGAATAAATTCTTTTAAACTTTATGTATTCCCCATAGTTGCTAAGTTCATCCAAATATCCCATCACCAGCATTGAAGCATACAAGGAAAACGAATTTTGAACGTTATCATCTAAATTTAGAGGTTATTTCTGAATTGTTCTAATTTAATTTCCATTATAGAATTTAGATAATTGCCATTGTCCCCTGCAGCATACAATTTATACGATAAACGACTAATGAACATGCGACAACTCATCATAATTTTCCGACAGAATACTTTTGGAGAACTTGGCGGCAATTACTGACCACGGATTGGCGACGACATCTCGAATCATTGAAGCGAAGAATTCAGTTCCGTGAACCACATTTCTTGCTTGGCCACTTGTCCGTCGATTCCGGAAACAAAAGTTTCGGTATCTTTAGACGTTCATTAGACTTTGTGAGAAATGGAAGAAGTTTTTGTTTGTGTTCGTCTTCAAAAGCCGCCTTAATTTTGAATTAAATTGGCGCGGTTGAGTGTAATGATATGATTCTTGTTTATTTATGCTATTAGTCCACAATATTTATTTATTGACTTCAGCATGTTTTGTTGACTTACTCTCTTTAAATTTTTATTACTTAATGCGAACAAAGCTATTTAATTTTCTTAAACTTTGAAAATAAATTTAACAAAATTAATTAACTTACTAACCTGAACTAAATTATTTAAATTTTGCGTAGTTTCATGATATTAGTAATTTGTTTTCTTCTAAAATATATATATTGATTTAAAAAAAAACTTATATTATTATTAATTTTTAAATTGTTGATAATAATCTCATAGTAATAGTTGTTGACATAATTTTAATAGTCGTTTTAATAGTAGTTTTAATAATTGTAGTAATTATTTTGATAATAGATTTAATAATATTATTTTTAATAGTAGTTCAATATCAATTTTATAGTTAAATAATTTAAATTTTACTTTTTCTTACTTTTATATTTATTTCACTTTTTTCAAATCTATTTTTCCGTTCAATTAGTTTCACCAAAATCTTTAAAATAAATTATTACGCTAATAAGTAATTAAAAATGCAAAATTAAAAATTTACTCAAATAAATTGAAACGTGATCATGAAATATTTCGGTAATAATTGGTTTTCAATTGAAGTAAATTGATTGTTTAAGTGGAAAACTTTTGAAATCAAGCGAACAAATATTCTGTGCCATTTTTGTCTTCAAGTAGTATTAGAAAACCTCAAGAGTTTTGTGAACTTTTAGTGGAAGATACCATGTTTGAAAACTGTAAATAAATAAATTTTCGAACTCAAGATGACTATGAGAAGTTGTAGTGGTTTTTCTGACCTACGCTCTGGAAGCATAGTCGTCTGCCATTATGCAATGGTAAGTGTTATTTGAAATTTAAGAAACTTATAAAGTAATTTAACGAATGCTTTAAAGACTAGAAAAGCTTGATCCTCTTAAAGAGCTTCATCTATCTTTCTAAATAATGTTTCGATATTTTTAAATGCTGTATAGCTTTATGATTCAGTTTTATTAAATATGATCAGTTGGAATTTTACACTTCTGAAGATATCTCTGTGAGCATTTTTTTAGCATTAAAACTTGAACTAGTCTAAGTAAAATAAAATATATATTTGATATGGAATCCTCTCAAAATGCACAAATTTCGCAACAATTGAAAAAGTTTAGAATAAATGTAAACAAATTGCTGGCTATCTGTAAAATCTGCAAAGTTTTTTTCGAACATAATCTCTTATCATACTCAAATTGTTTGCAGAGAATACTTTTATTAGTTAAGAAAAAGCATTTAAAACAATATTCTCAATGTCAGTTCGATGTTCAATTTCTTCTAACGGCATTCCACCCACGCCTGTGAAATTTGTTAATAAAGAATACAAAATAATATAAAAAACAAAAAAAATATCAAAAACATCTTCATTTTAAATGATACGTATGGCAGGGTAAGGTAGACAATAGTTTTACTTTTTAACTTATTTATTTTTTGTAGATAAAAATTGTTGCCTAGGAAATTTTTTTTAAGCGAATTATTGAAGTAATATTAAATATTGAATATTTTTACCAAATATTTCAATTAAATCTTTATTAGATTATTTTAGGAATTGTAATTTAACAGAAATCTAATTGTAATACATTTTTAATGTTTAATTCTATGTCACTAATAACTAACTCACTTGTAGTAGGAAAGATAATATTTTCTTTAATAATTCCGTTGAAGATTATACAATGAGTCCATAAAATTACACTACATTAATTAATAATACATTAATTCTTAATATAACGCAATAAAATATCTTTCTAGATTTAACTTTCAAGTTCAAAACTAAAACATTATTTTTATATATATTGACCTAAATTTTATTTTTTATGTAAACACATTTTGATAATAAATTCCAATACAAATTGTATGAAAGGGCATAAGGTATCCTGCACATTATTTATTATAGTGTTTTCATCGTTTTAAAATATTTTCTATTTTTTTATTTTTATTTTTTGTTTTCATTACTCAAACTCATAATAAAAACTTGACTAATTATCTAAACATTTTTTTAATTTTAATGATTTGAATAAATAAATTAATTAAAAAATCAACAAATTAAAACCATGATTTATTTTATTTAAATCGTTTATAACTTGGTACAGGGGGAATAGGCAGCAAATAAACAACTTTGCATCAACTGCTAAAAAGGAAGATAATATTTACGTAGGTTGAACGTTTTGCAACAAAACATGTAGTTTTATTTCTGAAAGAAGAAAAAAGAATCACCATATAAAGGCCTAATGAAGCACAATGAAGCACAATGAAGCAATACTCTCTATAAAAATCATGAAACAACATATTTAAAAAATATTTTTAAATAAAAACGAAATAAAATGAATAAGAAAGTAGTAAAAAAGTAAGAAATTCATAAGATGACACACAACCAAAAATATTTTAATAGAACTTCATGTATTGTAAGAGCAGCATGGTATGCTATCTCATTTCTATGAGGTGTTATTACGTGTCAAAGTTCCTAAATCAAGTTTCCTTTATCTAGTATAAATATTTTCAATTTTTAGTATCTAAGCAAAAAATAGGTTTTAGAAAATATAAACAAAGAGTTACCGAAGGCTGAAATAGAAATCAAGAGTTATACTTGACCTTTTTTTTATTTTTACTACATTTATTTTTACTATTTACTTCACATCTACTTTAGACTGAACTTATTTATAGTTAGATTATAAATCATATAACAAATTAGATAATTACTCATAAATCAGATATCATGAATCACATTATAGTCCTGAATTATTTTCCAATTTAAGAGAAGTTTGCATTAATAATTTTATAAACATATTTTCGACTATTTTGTGTTATAAAAGCAATATTTTTGGAATTATTAATATTTAAAAAATTTCTAAAATAATAGACGCTTGGCTTAAAAATAATGCGTAATTTTGTATCACATAATATGTATCATATTACAATGCTCAATTTCTCGAGAATTGCGCGCTTTATATGACGCATGAGGTCCAATTTTTATTTATTTATTATTATTTTTTTATCTTTGAAACTATGCCAGAGACTCTAGTGTTTATTACGAATTTTAAAGTCGAAAGGTTTAAATAAAATTTCAACAATGGTCAACACAGGTTAGTTCGGAATAATGTGCAATTTACTTTCATGATTTATCCATTAATACACTTTAATATTAACCTTTGTAAAAGAGTTAAATTCAAAGGTTTAAGTTGATGTAGCTTGTTATGATAAACTGAGGAAAAAAAGTATAGTCAAAACAACCAGAATATGGTTAAATGAACCATGTTTCTGCCTGTATGGGAACACCAAAAAGCTCGGTAATTTTTACCAAAGCGCTTTGGTAATGATTTTGGTAATGAAATATGGTTTTAAAATATGTGATAAAATTTATTAAATTTGGTAATTTTGCTACGATACCTTAAAGCATAGCGTAAAAACCATTTTGATTAAATTTACTTTTCAGTTTTGTAATTTTTACTAATTGTGTGGCAATAAGAACTACAATTTTGGAAATCAGAATTTTCGGTAAGCCGTTACCATATAAACAGAAAAATTACTAAATTAATGGTTTAAATGCAGTGCATTTAGTCTCATTAACCAGAAAAATGATTTTTTTAATACCAAAAATGTCACTACCATGCTATGCTGTAATTTTGCAAGATTTTTTTCTCCATGTAGTCAAAATATACTTTGCACTTTTTAAAACAGTTTTCGCAGGAAAAGAATTTAAAAAATTGTATGTTAATTTCTGTATGTCGAATGTGTTTTTATGCTTAGTAGTTTGGTAATTTTCATACTTAGTCATGTTAATTTTAGAGTATTAGCAATTTTGAATAAATTTCGATTTTACAATAAGCTTATATTTTTTTTAAATAAAATGTAATAATTTCAAATTATATTTCGATAGCAACATATTTCCCCACCCCCCCTAAATTACTAATCTGTTAAATAAAGTATCGGAAAACTTGATTATTTCTGCTCCAAAGGGCAATTTATGTTCAATCAAAGTATATAATTAATCAGACATTCTTCACTCTAAACTTTATAATAACATACTTTATAATTACTTTATAATAATATAATACTGAATTAATTAAAAACGTCGCGCTTTTATTAATAAAATTATTTTATAACTAAGATGTTTGAATGTTACGAGCTACACACAAAATTTCTTCTAAAGTATCAAATTCATACTAAATGGAATACTTTTTTATTCAGTTTCTTATTAAACAATTTGAATGACTAATTTATGACCAAATAATTTAGAAAGTACTATGTTATTTTGTTTTCATTTAATGCTTTAACTAACAGTAACTATCCTTTATCTGAATAATTTACATCAACTTAATTTGGCATAGCATATAAGGCGAACGTTTAACAATATTGTTTAAAATATATAACATAGGCTGATGTGAAATATAAAAATAAAATATTTTTGACAGAAAAAGAGTGCCATATTATAATTTGTTAAGCAATCGTATCAAAATTCTTTCTAGAGCATTATAACAATATTTTTCACACAATAATTTCATTAAATTAAAATTAATTTAATTTATTTTTATTATCATTAAATTACTATAAATGTAAATAAAAACGTTAGCTATATTTATTAAATTTAAATATAATTTTTTTAAAAGTTATTTAAATATCAATTTATTTATGAATAGCAATAATTTTATGTTATAATATATTTTATGGTTTAATATTCTAGCATAAGATATTTATTAGAAGTAATAAATATTTTTTTATCAACATATATTGCATAAAAAAATATGAATTTTTTTTAAAAAAGTGATTTGCTAAAAGTAATTAAAAATTAAAACAGATTATTTTGATACACCCTGACTTTGGAAGATTAAACATTTTTTACATTTCAAAATTTTCAAAAAAATATTTAAGTTTCAATATATTTAACAATTATTTATTTTCACTACGATTAAAACTGTAGAGTTCGTAAACATAGTTATTATCATTAGATGTCTAATGCTTACTAGAATTATCAGTGAAACTATCTTACTTATTAAATCACGCTTCTAGAATATGTGCAAAGCAAAGTTCAACTGATTTTGGTCGCACTAAAATTAATACACGTGTCTTTTTTATTCCATCCGATCTTTGCCCCAATTTGGAATAAGACCCTAAGAATAAACAGAAGGCGTATAAAGATGAATGTTAACCAAAAACCTACTTTTATTCATGCAATTCCATGAATTGATGTTAGAAGCGATTAAGTCACGTTTTACTCCGCGCCACGTTATTCAATGCATTCTCGTTCTTTGATTAGAATGATGATTAAGACCTGTATTGAACAGTTCAAAATGTTTACAGGTATCGCATTATTAGGTTATTTCTAATCTTCATTGTTCAAATAACTTATTGACAAATTATATGAAGAGATTTTTTTCAGAATCAATTGGATACCTGCAAGTGACTTCATTGTAAGTAAATCGTATGCATTTGTCGATTCAGAAACCAATCAGGTTCGACGCACACGCGTGACGTCATTTACAGGCATCCAATTAAATCTGATTTAAATTACATGGTTAGGCACAATCACTTCACTTCTTCTGGTGGAGTTGCAAGTACCTAATCGGGTGCCTGCAAATGACATCATCGTTGGTAAATCATGGTATTTCTTGATTCAGAAGCCAATTAGGTTTGACACTCACGTGTGACGTTGCTTACAGGTGTCCAATTACATCTGATTTAAATCACATGGTTAGGCATAATCGCTTCACTTCTACTTGAGAGGCAAGAACGCAGTTGAGAACTAATTTATTTATTGATTTATAAGATCGTGGAGTATGTTTTTATTTACTGAATGTGAATTTTGATATTGAGG